TATATATATATATCTTTGCCAAATATAGGTCTTTAAATCCTCTGAAATTATTTGGTTGTGAGGTATGGATCAAATACCCAGCCCCAATTGCTCAGTAGGAAGCCATTTGACTAGGCACCATCCTTTCTCCACTGAATGGGATGGTGTCTCCATCACAGGTCAAGTCACCATCCAAGAACCCATTGGCTCTGGGCTTTCTATTCAGTTCCATGGATCCATTTGCCTCTTTTTGTGACAATACCACACAGTCTTAGTTATTACAGCTTTAAAATAAGTCCTGCTTGCTGGTAGGACAATTCCCCTCCCCTTGTTTTCCTTTTCATAATTGTCTTGACTATTTTGGAATTTTTGCCTTTTTGTATGAATTTTAGAATCAGTCCATCTATCAACTTTCACACACATACACACACACACAGACAAATAACCTTAATTGGATTCTAATCAGAACTACATACGATTTATAAATGGATGGAGAATTGCTGCATTTACTACATTGACTTTTCCTGTTCATTGACATGGTATATTTTCAAAGTCTTTTTAGGTCTTCTTTTATGTGTGATTTTTTTTCCCTATCTTTTCACATTTTCATTTCATATGTTTTTTCACATTAATTGACATAAAGTTCTTTATTCTGTCTTATAATTTTTATATCTACTATAAATAGATATTTCTCCATTTTTAATCTTAATATGCTTTATTTGTGTTTTCTCTTTTTTTCTTGACCAGGACTTGCTAAAGTTAACCCCCAGATTATTAGTATTATTGTTGTTGTTATGTGCTGTCAAGTCGGGCCTGAATCATAGCAACACGTCCTTGGGTTTCCGAGACAGTATCATTATGGAAGTAGATTGCCCCATCTTCCTTCTGAGGAGTAGTTGGTGGCTTTGAACCACCAGCCCTCTGATTAGCAGTCAAGTGCCTTAGGCACTATGCTATCAGAGCTCCCAGATTATTAGTATAGTATTAATATTTTGAAATAACAAAGTTTTGGTTTTACTGATCATCTATTTTTTTAGAAAAGTTGTTAATTACTGCTAGTGATTGCTGATACTTTGGATTTACAGGTGAAAATTTAGTGCATTTGTAGCATATGCAAAAGAAATTTGTAAACCAGGATCAGAAGATCAAATGTTCTCCTGGGCCTGGACAACTTGGCTAATTAGGGAGTGATGGGGAAAATAGGTCACCTCTCTTAAGGCATTCAAATTATGGTTATTTTTTAAATGACCCTGTCAGCCAAATAAAACTTGTCCAAAAGATAAATTCTGCCTCCAGGGCCCAGCAGTTCAGGATGAGTATAAACTGTAAATCATTAAGCAAATGTTAAGATGCTTAATTCATCCTCAAAGCAAACAAACAGAAAGGCCTAGAGGTACGGCATTTCTGAAAGTCTTTGACTTTCAATGGTTGCTATAATTAGGATAACCATATAATTTACCATGTGAACTGGACACTCCTGAGAATGAATGGAGGAGCTATTAACAATTACTCCAGGACAAAGATGAAACCAGGGGCTGTCCCAGGCAAATCAGAATGTGTCTGGCTATAATCATACAATCATCCATAATCCCTGTTTGACCAAAGATTAATACCAGATGAATTAATGGCTGCTTCTTGGGAAGGACAGATGGCAGGTGGGGAGAGGGGAGGTTGGTTTAAAGCCAGGACCCAGATGAAGACAAGTAAAAGAGGAAAGGTTTGACACAACTGTGTTATAAAAGTACAGGTGATACTGGTTAGTAAATTTTCTAGTCAGAACAGAAGCCATAGATAGATTAAGGAAGTTCAGGGATCAGAGAAGAACCAAGAAAACAGGGAGAAACACAAATACACTAAACAAAGATTGTTGTCATTTGTTGTTAGTTGCTATGGAGTTGGTTCTAACTCATGGTGACCTTAAGCATAATAGGACAATATGTTGCCAGGTCATGTGCCAGTTCCATGATCTTTGAAATATTTGAGTCCATTGTTGTGGCTATTTTGGAAGCTGAGTTGAATTATAGTTCAATTCCTCATCCTTTCTATAATCATCCCCTACCCTGGCTGGAGGCAGATGAGCAGCCGTGATAAACTTTTTCCTTAAAAGCTGAGTTAAATGGAAGGTTAATTCCCCACCTTTCTGTAATCAGCCCCCATCCTAGCTGGAGACAGATGAATAGGTAAGATAATACATTTCTTTAATGTTGTTTTTCAGAAACAACCCAGACCATCTTGAAATCAATTAAAATCGGCTCAGACCAGTTTTGGCCCACGGATAGGTACAGTGAGACAAACGGAAACGAAGGTGCTAGAACTAACATCTCCCCCTCTGCCAAAGCCCCCATCAGCTGGTGACAGGAAGTCAGTGTAACTCATCTGTTGCGCAAGCACACTGCATTAAAAATTGACTGTCCCTTTAAACCTGGGTGAACAAAACCTTAGCTAATCTCCAGCTAATTCATGCCTAAATTCCTGAAATTTATATGAATATATATAGACCCCTTTCCTGAACTTTACAAAAGCTGTACTCCAAGCCCCACTTGGGGAGTCAGATTTGGGTACTGGCCCATCTCCTTACCATGCATGTGGTAATAAATCTTTCTCTTCTCTCAAATACACAGGGTGTGTGAACTGATTTGGCTTAATTGCACACCAGGCAGGGACTCACTTTAATTTGACTTCATTTTGTCAATGCATCTCATTGAGAGTTTTCCTCATTTTCACTAACCCTCCACTTTAGCACGGAGCTCTGGTAGCCTAGTGCCTAAGGCACTTGACTGCTAACCAGAAGGCTGGTGGTTCAAACCACCAGCCACTCCTCGGAAGGAAGATGGGGCAATCTACTTCCGTAGTGATACTGCCTCAGAAACGCAAGGACGTGTTGTTATGAGTCGGGTCCGACTCGAGGGCACATAACAACAACAACAACCACTTTACCAAATATGATGTCCTTTTCTAGTGAAAACAAATAGGCAAAACAAAGAATGGGTATGGAGACACCAGCATAGTTAAGACATACAGGAAAACAACAAAAGACAGACTGGTTCTGGTGTTGCAAGGCAGTAAAGATCCACCAGGGTGAAGAACAATGTACAAATCAAGAGAATAGTCTTGCCGAAAGGAATTTCTTATTTCTCCCACTGGACCAAGAAACTCCCCCATGAGAGGGATAGTTGCTTCTTCCTTGTGAATGGAAACTCCCTGAGGTGGGTGATATCTTCACAAGGAGCCAATGTGCTCTAAGTAAAGAACTGGGCAATCTACTTCCATGGAGATACTCTCTCAGAAACCCAAAGAGGAGTCGCTATGAGTTGGAATCAACATGAGGGCAGTGAGTTTGGGTTTGGCTTTTTTTTTTTTTTTTTCCTTTCCATATGGAGCCCCTGGGTGGTACAAACAATTAACATGCTTATCTGCTAATGGAAATGTTGGCAGTTTGAGTCTACCCAGAGTTACCTCAGAAGAAAGGTTTGGTGATCTTCTTCTGAAAATGAGCCATTAAAAACCTGTTGGGGCACAGTTCTACTCTGACACACATGGGGTTACCTTGAACCAGAATCCACTCTATGGCAATCGGTTTTTCATTTCCATTTCCATTTGCTCTCCCAAGGTTTGGGCTCTGCAGACAAGAGATGCTTAAAACCATGGCTAGTGAACCAGCTGACTGGTCCCAACATGTATGACCTTGAGAGGCCTTGCCCAGCCCTCCACTCTCTACTGAACCTGACAGTAAGCCCTTTATCCTGTGGACTTGGGTGTGCTATTCCTTTAAATCTCAGTTAATTGCCTTTATACACATATCTTTAATTAGTCCAAGGTTCAACGCAACTTGCACATTTTCTAAGCAGCAAATATCCATTCACAATAGCCATTTGTTCTCAAGAGGTAGGTTTACCCATCTGTTCCCTCTTTAACATGTTCTCTACATTCTAACTCTTACTCTTTTCATTATGCATTTACTTTTTATCTCCCTCTTGTTCCCCACCCCCCAGTCCTCCATCTAATTGGTAAATTCTTTGACCTCCTTCTCCTCTGTTCCTTCTCTCTTGCTAGAACAAATGTCTACAACCCATCTCTTTGCTGTTCAGAGAAACCTTCCTGCAGACCTGATACAACTTCCACAGACTAGAAGCAGATCTCTTGTTCCATCATGGCCAGTTCACAGCTTGTCAATATGCTGCAGGAGGAAGTGATCTGCCCCATCTGCATAGAAATTCTGCAGGCCTCTGTCACCATTGACTGTGGGCACAATTTCTGCCACAAATGCATTACCCAGACTGCGGACACATCAGACAGTTTACTTGGATGTCCTTTTTGCAATAAATATGTGAGGAGGGACGCTCTGAGGTCCAACTGACTGTTGGTGAATCTCGTGAAGAAAATCCAAGCTATGAGCCCCTTTGAGGCATAGCCAGAAAGGGAGGAACTGAGATGTCAGAAGCACCAAGAGAAGTTCCATTACTTCTGTGAGCATGATGGGAGATTTCTCTGCATAGTGTGTCATGAATCCAAGGACCCCAAATTTCACAAAACCAGGTAAATAGAAAAAGCTGTTAAAAACTATCAGGTTAAGAATTTTGGGCCCCTTCTCTGTCTTACCCATCAGACCAGGAGTTCCATGAGGATATAGGAATGGTTACTGTTGCTCTGGGTTTGCACCACAATCACCCCCACCCCTTACATTTAAGCAGACTACTCAGAGGCAGGTACGATGGCCACACTGGAGGTCTTATCATCTCTGGCATATCATCTGGTTGCCTTGTCTTTTCAAGTCAAGGCAAAATAGAGACTAGAAAAGGCATGGGATTTTTAATCAAAAGGTTTGGGCTCAAGTCCAAGCTCTGAGTTTTCTGTAAGACATTCAAGTAATCATTTGACCTCTCTGAGATTCAGTTGTCTTACCTTTCAAATGGAGTGAACAGAACAGAATATAATTTACTTCTGTAGCAGTCTGATAAGATAAATGAGGGAAAGTCATGGAAATCCTTTATTAACCCCAAAGTACCATGCAAATATGAATCATAATTATTCACAGATGACACATTCTTCTCTTGTAGGTCACTGAAGCCTCAGATGTCTACTTCTCCATCACTCCTGGCACCAAGTACCCCCCACCAAGTCTCACCCACCCTCTTGAGAGATTAGGAGGTTTTGTGAGGTCAAGAGAATGCACAGGCACAATTTATCATAATGGTCCTCTCCCCACAGGGATTAATTCATTTGCAACTCAAGGCTTTGCAGCAAAAGAAGGCAATAATACAATGAAAGCATAAGCCAAACAGAGGACCGATGTCTTCGTGGTAAGAAAATGCTCAGGGGTAGGCAGGTGTCTCTGTCCCATGGTCCTTGGAAGCAGAAACATCTTCACCCTCATGTCCCTAGATTCTCTTATCACACTGACCATTCAGAAAAAGACCTAGTGACAAAGCAAGTGGCTCAGAGTGGAGAAATGTGTAGGAGGGGCAGCTAGAGGGACATCATGGGTTAGGATGTATTCACAGCTTCTACTCCACCACAGCATTTGGCTTGTCTGCGATAGCACCTTTGCATCTGGCCTTGTGTTATTAGAGTATGTTGACTCCAGTATCCTTCACCTGGAGACAGTGGTGTAGGGAAAACAGGGGCTGGTCTTAGCATTAGAAATACTAATTTTAAGACCCATCTCTGCCTCTCACAGGCTATCTCTTAAGCAGAGACTGAGTCCTCAGTTAGAAATGAAGACAATATAATGTAACCCAACTTCTTTGTTTTATGTGTGTACATATAAAAGGAAAAATCTTTGTGAAAGGAGATTATAAATTGAAAAGCCTTATGGAAATATAATATGGTTTTAGAGACTCAGGTCCTTGAAGGAAACATAAATAATTTAGCCTAAAACTGAGCTCATAGTAAATGCTAAAAAAAAAAAAAAAAAAAGTTAGTTCTCTACAAATTTCCTTTTCCAAATCTGCCATAGAACATTGTTCTGCATTGACAATTAATATAAATATAAACTTAATAAAATTGAAAAGACTGGATAAAATGGGTTAGGGTTTTGAGGCCATAGTCTCATCTTCTCAGTGTCCATTCTCTTTGTCCCCCAGGCCCAGGTGGAGTGTGAAAAGCAAAGGATCATCACAGAATTCAAACACCTGAGTCAGGTCCTAAAGGAGGAGAAGTTTCTCCTGTCACGACTGGCCTGGCTGGATCGGGAAGGAGCCGAGGGGAGCCACCTCTCTATGACACTTAACACTGAGGCACAGCTGAACTCTCTCAATAAGCTTGTTGATTCCCTGAATGCCAAGCAGCAAATGTCACCCAGTGAGTTGCTCTGGGTAAGAGTCCCTGGGGGCCACAGATGCAGAGACGGATGGGCTTCTCCCTAGTCACAGGTCAGAGCTTGACCACCTGGCAGAATTCCTGTTTGTTGTTGTTAGTTCCCATCAAGTGAAATTCAATTCATGGCGACCCCATGTGTCTAAAGTAAAATTGTGCTCTATATGTTTTTCAAGGCTGTGGCATTTTGGAAGCCAGGGCTGTCTTCCAAGGCACCCCTCTGGGTGGGTTCAAACTGCCAACCTTTCAGTTAGTAGTATTGAGATCACCCCAATCATTCTACCTCTAGCCTAGTGCTATTCAACAAAAAAATAATGCCAGCCACTCCTATTGCAAAATGCCAGCAGGGTTACCCATGGTGGACAGGTTTCAGTGCAGATGCCAGACTAAGACAGACTAGGAAGAAGGAAGAGGCCATCCACTTCTCAAAGAATTGGCCAGTGAAATCCTTATGAATAGCAGTGAAACACTGTCTGATATATTACTGGAAAATTTTATGAACAGTCCTGAAACATTGTCCAATATAGTGCTGGAAAATGAGCCCATCAGGTTGGAAAGCACTCAAAATGTGACTAGTGAAGAACTGACGCCTCAGAGTAGAGACAACCTTAACAGTATGGATAGAGTAAAGCTTTCAGGACCTCCACTGGCTGATGTGGCTTGACTCAAAATGAGCAGAAACATGCAAACATCCATTAATAATTGGAACATGGAATGTATGAAGTATAAATCTAGGAAAATTGGAAGTTGTCAGAAGTGAAGTGGAACACATGAATATTGATATCCTAGGCATTAATGAGCTGAAATAGACTAGTTTTGGGCATTTTGAATCAGACAACCATATGATCTACTATGCCAGGAATGACAAATTGAAGAGGAATGGTGTGGCATTCATCATCACAAAGAGTGCTTCAAGATCTGCCCTGAAGTACAATGCTGTCAGTGACAGGATAATATCCATACGCCTACAAGGAAAGCCAGTTAATACTATTATTCAAATTTATGAAACCATCAAATTTAAACCATCAAAGCCAAAGATGAAGAATTTGAAGATTTCTACCAACTTCTGCAGTCTGAAATTGACCGAACATGCAATCAAGATGTGTTGATTATCATTGGTGACTGGAATGCAAAAGTTGGAAACAAAGAAGAGTTACCAGTAGTTGGAAAATATGACTTTGGTGATGGAAATAATGCTGGAGATCACATGATAGAATTTTGCAAGACCAATGACTTATTCATTGCAAATAACTTTTTTCAATAACATAAGCAACAACTACACACATGGACTTCACCAGATGGAATATACAGGAATCAGAGTAACTACATCTGTGGCAAGAGGTGATCGAGAAGTTCAATATCTTCAGCCAAAACAAGGCCAGGAACTGATTGTGGAAAAGACCATCAACTGCTCATATGCAAGTTCAAGTTGAAGTAGAAGACAATTAAAACAAGTTGACGAGAGCCAAAGTATGACCTTGACGAAATCCCTTCTGAATTTAGAGACCATTTAAATAATAGATTTGAAGCTTTGAATACCAATGACTGAAAACCAGAGGAATTGTGGGATGACATCAAGAACATGACCCATGAAGAAAGCAAGAGGTCATTAAAAAGACGAGAAAGGAAGAAAAGACCAAAAGGGTTGTCAGAAGAGACTCTGTAACTTGCCCATGAGTGAAGAATAGCTATAGCAAGTGAAAGAAATGACAAAATAAAAGAGCTGAACAGAAGATTTCAAAGAGCAGCTCGAGCAGACAAAGTCAATTACTATAATGAAATGTGCAAAGACCTGGAGTCTGAAAACCAAAATGGAAGAACCCACTTGACATTTCTCAAGCTGAAAGAACTGAGGAAAAAATTTAAGCCTTGAGTTGCAATATTGAAAGATTCTATGGGCAAAATATTGAATGATTCAGGAAGCATCAAAAGGAGATGGAAGGAATACACAGAGTCACTGTACCAAAAAGAACTGGTCAATGTTCATCCATTTCAGGAGGTGGCATATGATCAAGAACCAATGGTACTGAAGGAAGAAGTCAAAGCTGCAGTGAAGAAATTGACAAAGAGCAAGGCTCCAGGAATTGACAGAATACCCACTGAGATGTTTCAACAAATGGAAGTCACACTGGAGGCACTCACTAGGCTATGCCAAGAGATTTGGAAGACAGCTACCTGGCCAACTGACTGGAAGAGATCCATATTTGTACTCATTCCAAAGAAAGGTGATATCACAGAGTGTGGAAATTATCAAACAATATCATTAATATCACATGCAAGTAAAATCTTACTGAAGATAATTCAAAAACGGTTGCAGCAGTATATTGACAGAGAGCTTTCAGAAATGCAAGCTGGATTCAGAAGAGGACGTGGAATGAGGGATATCATTGCTGATGTCAGATGGATCTTAACTGAAAGAAAAGAATACCAGAAAGATGTTTACTTATGTTTTATTTGACCATGCAAAAGCATTTGATTGTGTGGATCATAACAAATAATGGATAACTTTGAGAAGAATGGGAATTCCAGAACACTTGATTGTACTCATGAGGAACTTGTACATAGATCAGGAGGCTGTTGTTCAAACAGAACAAGGGGATACTGCATGGTTCAAAATCAAGAAGGGAGTGTGTCAATGTTGTATCCTTTCACCATACTTATTCAAGTTGTATGCTGAGCAAATAATCCAAGAAGCTGGATTATATGAAGAACATGGCATCAGGATTGGAAGAAGACTCATTAACACAGATGATACAACTTTGCATGATATCCTTCTCCAGGGAATGGTTCTTTCTGACAACACGACCAAAGTAGGTGAGACGAAGTCTGGCCATTCTCACTTCCAAGGAGCATTCCGGCTGCACTTCTTCCAGGACAGATTTTTTAGTCCTTTTAGCAGACCATGCCAAAAGATGACATAAATTTGGTTACTGAAAGTAAGGATGGCTTGAAGCACTTACTGATGAAGATTAAAGGCTGCAATATAGATTACACCTCAATATAAAGAAAATAAAAATCCTCACAACTGGTCCAATAAACAGCTTCATGGTGAATGGAGAAAAGATTGAAGTTGTTGAGGGTTTCATACTGGTTCTACAATCAATACCAATGGAAGCAGCAGTGAAGACATCAGACGACATATTGCATTAGGCAAATCTGCTGTAAAAGACCTCTTTCAAGTGCCGAAGAGCAAAGATATCTCCTTGAAAACTAAGGTGTGCCTAACCCAAGCCATGGTATTTTAAATCACCTGTTGTGCATGTGAGAGCTGGACAAAGAATAAGGAAGACTGAAGAGGAGTTGATGCTTAAGCCTCTACAATGGCTTAGGTAATGGTGATTCCACTTTCTGTTAAAATACTTAGGAATGGGCATTCATTCTATCTCCTGATTTATTAGGAGAAGAATGCTAAGAGTACCATGGTCTACTAAAAGGAGTAACAAATCTGTCCTGGAAGAAATGCAGTTGGAATCCTCCTTGGAAGCAAGAATGGCCAGACTTCGTCTCACCTACTTTGGTCATGTTGTCAGAAGGAACCATTCCCTGGAGAAGGATATCATGCTTGGTAAAGAGGAGGGTCAATGAAGAAGGGGAAGGCCCTCAATGAGATGGATAGACACAGTGGCTGGAACAATGGGCTCAGGTATAGCAAGGATCATGAGGCTGGTGAAAGACTGGGCAGTGTTTCCTTCTGCTGTGCATGGGGTCACTATGAGTCAGACTGCAAAAACGGCGAGGAGGCCACATATTCTGACCTCCTCTAATCTCACAAGGGGAAGACAGGGTTACCAGCAGTAACCCAAGGCCTATTACTGAAAGGCCAAACATGTTGCCTCCCTCCAGCCCTTTCACCAACCGTTCCTCCCAAAGCACCCACCACCTCTCTCCTGGGTTCGATAATTCGCTGCAGTGGCCACACAGAACTCACAGATTACAAGGTTTATTAGGGAAGCACCAGGCTACAACTCAAGTTCAGGAAGAACACTCAGTCTCTCTCCCAGCCCACCGTCCCTCAGCCAAGAGTCTCTCACAGTCTCTTTCCCAGCAGTGCTGGTCCCTCGGTGTCTCACTCAGCAATGCGTGTCTCTTGCGTCTCTTTCCCAGCAACGCGTGTCTCAGGAGCCCGTGTCTCTTTCAGCAGCACGTCTTCCTCAACCAGCAGTCAGAGAGAGTTCTGCCTCCAGGAAGCCTCCTTTTGAGCCCGGCAGGGTGGTCAAACTAGCCAATTACAGCATCAGAACTCTAAGCACCTGAGAGAGAGTGGGCACCTCCCAGAACATTGTTTTGTGCCACTCCCAACAGAAATACTCCAGGTGGACACCTTCAGCAATCAGGAGCTCCTCAGTTGCTCATAGCAAATCCCACCTTGGAGTTTACAAAGACTTATGGATAGAAAAGCCAAACAAAGTAATTTACTATACCACAGTCAGAGATGACTTGACAGCACCTAACAACAACAGCCACGTATGTAATTTAGAAACATATTGCAAGCCACGTATGTAATTAAACATTTTTTTTTCTAGTAGCCACATTAAGGAAAAAAAGAAAAAGAAACAGGTGAAATTAATTTTAATAATATTTTTTATTTAACCCACTAAATTTAAAATAAGGGGACCTCTGGTGGCGTAGTGCCTAAGGCATTTGACTGCTAACCAGAAAGCTGGCAGTTCAACCCAACAGCCACTACTCAGAAGGAAGACTGGGAAATCTACTTCCCTAGAGATACAGCCTCAGAAACCCTGAGGGGTCGCTAAGAGTTTATTCAACTTGATGGCAGTGATTTTGTCTGTTTCTTTTTTTCATATTCAAAATATTATCATTTAGATCTATACTCAATAATTATAAGTATTACTGAGATACTTTACATTTTTTCTTCTTAGTTTTGAAATTTGGTATACATCTTATACCTTAGCACCATCTCAATTCACTAAATTTTCAATTGTTGAAGTAAAATGTAGTCCTACCAAATCAATAAAGTTGTATTTAATGGGAAAAGTATTTTTCAGACTCTTGCAGTTTTTAAATTTAAATTTGTGAAATTCAACACATTTAAAAATTCAGTTCCTTCTAGCACTAGCTACATTTCAGTTGCTCAGTAGCCACATGTGGTTACCATATTGGACAGCATGGGTCTAGTCAATGCTCAAAATAAGCTGACATCCCTCCTGAATTCACCTCCCACTCTCACCATTTCTTTCTTTAAACAAAGACCAAGCAAAGCCATTCCAGCCCTCCACCTACCCCTTGCCCATCTATAATGAAGGCTTGCCTGGTTTAGTCTCAAACACAAAATTCATCTTCACAACCTCACTCTTCCCTCTTCCCCACCTCTCCACTCAGTTCTCTTGAGGTAGTCATTTTCCTGCCCACTGGCATATGTTGGAGGAACCCTTCGTGGTAGGTGTGAAGAAAGAGAGTGGCTTCTCCCTTCACCTACTCTGCCTCACACCAAATAGGCTCTTTACTCTTTGGTTGCCACGAACTGAATCCACCAAGAGGGGAGAATGTGCTGTTGTTTCTCTTCTAGGACATTAAAGTTGTTTTGTGCAGGTATGATGGGTTGTCCCAAGTGCATTTTTCATACTGATTCATTCACACAAATAATACTCAACATGTACTTATAGAATGCTCAAACATGACCAACATGCCTGCCTCACAAATGCCATACACTCTGTCTAACACTTAAGTTACCAGGAAAGGCCTAAGCAAGTGGGTTGGTTCTGAAAGAGGAGAGATCCTTTTTCCAGCTTCCTGGTTCTTCAGCACCAGTTCTCCTATTTTCTGGCACCTTCCACATGCCTCTTTGCTCAAATGGATGGCCCTAGCTTCCCTGACCCCTCCATCTCCCTACTTCTCATCTCTGGCCCCATAACCCTAACCCTAGCCTCCTCACTCCCAGCTCCCTATTTCTTGACTTCTACTCACACCCCTAGGCTCCATCCCCATATCCCCATCTTCTTGTCACAATCCTCCCTCCCCCAAACCCCTCTCTGATCTCACCACATAGCTCAGCCCTGTCTTCTCAGGACTCAAAAGTTTCAATTTCTCCATCCAACTCCTGTTCCTACGTACCTGGAGAAAAATTCAGTGAAGCTAAATCAAGGCATAACTCCATCACGGAAACCCTGAAGAAATTCAGTGGTAAGGAAGAGGCTTTTACCTTCTCTGATATCCACCTCAAGGGGATTCTCTCCCCTTCACCTAAGGAAAGCTGAACTATAAATTGTACATGCCAGTAATCATCATTTAAAAAAGAATATACACACACACACACACACACATACATATATGTATATATGTATGTATATGTGTGTGTACGTGTGTACACACACACACACACACACACATATATATATATACACACATACATACATACCACGGAGTCAGTTCTGACTCATGTCAACCCCCTGTATCAGAGTGGCCCTGTACTCCACAGGGTTTTCCATGGCTAGTTTTCCAAAGTAGATCAGCAGGCTTTTTCTTCAAGACACCTCTGGGTGGACTAAATCCTCCATTCTTTTCATTGGCAGCTGAGCATGTTTGTTAACCATTTGGAGCATCCAGGGACTCCAAGTAATGATCATCCCATTGCCATCCAGTTGATTCCAACACTTTGAGTGGCATTTGGCAGTTGAATCATAGTTTATCAGGATTACAAGATTCCCTATCCACCCTCTGCAATGACTTAGGGAATGGTGATTCCACTTTCTGTTAAAATACTTAGGAATGAGCATTCATTCTGTCTCCTGATTTATTACCTAATATAAAATCTTATACATACCAGTTACTGTGGAGTTGGTCCTGACGCATGGCAACCCCACGTGTGTCAGAATAGAACTTTGCCCCATAGGATCTTCAAGGCTATGACCTTTTCAGAAATGCCAGACTCTGCTCAGCACTTTCCATATGTCACCATGCTTCCTTTCAGGCAGTTATCTTAATCATATCTTACTTGTCTGCCTCCCTCATTCCCGTGACAGCCACAGAGGGGTTCTGGACTGATGATGGACGGTGACCCTTTGACTAGCACAGTGACATCAGAAAGCTGTGCTTGGTTGAACCTCTGTACGGTGGATGACCGGGGAGGCAGGGCCATGCCTCTACCCTCAGGCTGGGCCTGTGAAACCTCCAGGAAGTGGCTGTGCTTCTCTGGCACACACTGGAGCTTTTGTGACTGCTAACCAGAAGGCTGGCAGTTCAAACCCACCAGCCACTCCTTGGAAGGAAGGCTGGGCAATCTATTTCTGTAGTGATACTGCCTCGAAAACCCAAGGAGAGGTCACTATGAGTCGGGTCCGATTGGAGGGCACATAACAACAACAACAGCACAGATGAAGAGAAAGTAGATTCAAAGTCAATGAAATTTTGAGGAAAATTCCTCTTCCAGCATTGCAGGGCAGTAGCAAGCAGCCAGAACAGAAGTAGGGGACTATGGATCTCAATTTGCAGGTCAGATATTTGTCAAGAACTTGTCTGGGTTTGCAACTAAGAAAAGGTTCAGTATGTTAGGAATTCTGCATTAGTTTCTTAGTGCTGCTGTAATGGAGACACCACAAGTGGGTGGTTGTAGAGAACAGAAATGTATTTTCTTATAGTTTAGGAGGCTAGAAGTACAAATTAGGGGCACCTTTCCATCTCACTCCATTCTCTTCTCACAGAAAAGCTCCAGGCTGATGGGAAGAAAGATAAATGCAGATTTTTCAGAGGCATGAATGAGGACTTCATGAAGAGCTGTAAGTGGGGACTGACAGTTGCTCTTGTCATTTGGAGAAAGTGAGAAAGGCAAAGGGGAGGAATTTCATCTCTGTGATTACATGTGGTGCCCAAACCAAAATCAAAACCCACTGCAATCAAGTCGATTCTGACTCATAGTAACTCCCAATGGGTTTCCAGTGCTGTAAATCTTTATGGAAGCTGATTGCCTCATCTTTCTCCCACAGAGAAGATGGTAGGTTTGAACCACTGACCTTCTGGTTAACATCCAAATGCCTTACCCACTACATCACCAGTGTTCCTTACTTGCAGCCCAGATATGGGCAAATGTCTGTTCCTCAGGCAATTAAGAAAAACAGGTTCATGGATATAAGTTTTATTATTTTAAATTCTAGTAACTCACAAAAAGGAGTTCCTGGGTGGTGTGAATGGTTAAGTTAAGCACTCAACTGCCGGCCAAAAGGTTGGTGGTTCAAATCCATCAGTGGTGTCTCGGAAGACAGGCCGGCAATCTGCTTCTGAAAGGTCACAACCTTGAAAACCCTAGAGAATAGTTCTACTCTGTACACACAGGGTTGCTACAAAATCAGAATCTACTTGACGGCAACTAAAAACAACTCATAAAACAGTATCTAATCTCAAAATTGTAAATATTCAAAAGTAATAAAAATTTTAATTTATTTCTTCACTCCTCAGAGAAAGGTGGAACAAGGAGGAGGTAGGCACAGCTCAATCTCTGAAGTATTAGCTGCCCTCAGCCCCATACTTGGATTCTTGGCAAACTCCTCTAGGTGTGAGGTCACAGCAGCTCAGGGGATGGAGATCCAGTGTAATAACAGCCTATGCCAAAGTCCTCAGAGCCGATTCTGCCACCTGAGATGGCAACACTAGAATAATTATTCCTCTCTTTCTTTCTCTTTCTTTTTTTTTTTTTTTGTGATTTGGGTGAAGATTTACAGAGTAAATTCACCTTCCATACAGTAGTTCGCATACACTGTCTCATGATATTGACCACGGTTCACCATAATGCAACAGCTCCCCTCCCACTTCCTCCCAACAGTCACCTCTTCCCTGTGTCCATCCCTCCATGCACCCCTGCCCCCTGAGCTGTCTCCCTGTATGTAAATAACCCTTCCTTCTCCCATGATTGTTCTCTGCAAGGAGTGTATCTACCTCAGGTAAATGTTCAACTCCTGTGCTGTCTTTTGCTTGGCTGGAAGCCACAGGTGTGGGTTCAAGAAGAATCATTTCTTAAAGGCCCACTATGCTTAACACTCACATGCAATATTTCAAAACCCCACAAGTCCCCCAAGATAGGTGTTATTACCTGAAATATACAAGTGAGGCCCCTCTAACTCCAGAAAGGTAAGCAAAGTTACCCAGGTCTTATGACCAGTAAGGAGAAGAGACAGAATTAGAACTAATTTCTCCAAAGCCAGAGACTACATTACGCATTCCGAAGCCAAAGGGATTCTGTTCTACCAGTGTTTCTCCACGAGAGGAGGTATTGGTGTTTGGAGGGGATGTCTTTGTTGTGCTTCATGACTTGTGCTCTGTTGAATGTTTGATATCCCAGACCCTAGGAGGCACTAAAGGCCAGACAGGACACCCTTCCTGTAGTCACTGAGATACCCCAGAAGGTTTCCATACTTCCCCATGGGTGGGGGATGGTCCCCATTGAGAATCACTGATTTTTGTTCTTGTTGATGGTGGTAGGATGTTTGGTTTTGTTTTTAATTTGCAGCTTCTGGCTTTCTTTCCCCAACTCCCAGGGACCCTGTTAGAGAAAAATAATTGTGAAATGAACAAAATCTTGGAGCCTGTGTCACCCTTTCCAGATCGGAGTCCTGCCTCCTGACACTACTTCCTGTGGTACAGAGAAGGGACCTCCAAGTCAACAGGTGGACAAAATGTAGGAGAAAGGGCTTTCCTCTGTGCCCTATCTGCCCAAAGCACAGAACGGGAATGCATTGAATCGACTCTGCAGGGCAAGGGTGCAGTCTAGCCTGCATAAAGGGCTTCCTAACATGGAAGATCATCCTCTCCAATCAGAGTTAGGTGGGAATGAGTTCTCTCCATTCCAGCCTGAGATGGAAAGGAGTAGCGGAGAGAGGGAGAGGGATTTAGAGAGATTGTAAGAAGGCCTGGAGGTTAGTAGAGGGCTATGGAGCTGTGGAATCTACAGATGCCAGAAATGGGGGTGGCAATGAGAGAAGGGGGCGACATCTCATTTGTTTCTTTCTCAAATTTCACCTGCTCCAGGAAATACACCACTAATCAACTTACCCTTAGCTTGTTCAGGTGCACTTTCTTGGGTCTAACCTTATCCCTCCTACTGTATCTAGAGCTCAGCAGTGCTTTCTGTCAATGGAGAATTATTCCTACCTTGCTCCCACTGACCTCTCATTTCTCCTTTTTTTCTCCCTCAAAGGCAGAGGAACAACTGAACCAGAATCACCAAATTCCTGCTCCTCGTCTATGTTCAATCTTCTACCCATGTCCTCCTGTTCTCAGAAAGCACCCCATCCACCACTTTGTGTGCTACAAAACAGGATGTCTTATGCTGAGGTATCTCAAAGCCAAGCTAGCTCTGAGATCCTGGAGAGCATTGGCACGTAGATGGCCTAAAGTGAGTGGCTGAGAGCTTTCCAGGGTCCCTACTTTGAGTGGAATTGGGCAAGAGAATAGGGTCTGGGGAGAAATCTGGGCTACTTAGAGTGGAGATAAGGGGAGTGAAGACCTGGAGAAGGGACGGGATTTCTTTGATCAAAAGGAGGGGAAAAGACAAAGCCCCCTCCCAGCATTCCCTACACCCAAGCTTGGCTTCTCGATCTCTTTTCTTTTGGTTCTTTTTTTCTAATTTTTACTGTGATTTGGGTAAAATTTTACAGAGCAAATTCATTTTCCATACAGCAGTTCATACACATTTTGTTTCATGATATTGACTGCAATTCTCCACAATGGAACACCTCTCTTCCCACTTCCTCCCTGTAGTTACCTCTTCCCTGTGTTCTTTCCTATACATTCCTACCTCCTCCCACCTCCACCCCAGCTATCTTCCTGTGCAAACACTGCCCTTCTGTTCTCCCATGATTGATCGCTCTAAGGAGTGTATCTACCTGATGCAAATATTCATCCTATATGCCTGTCCATTGTTTGGCTGGAAGCCACAGAAGTGAGTTCAGTTCCAAACCTGAAGGGTAACTAGGGGCCATAGTCTCGGAGGTCTCACCAGGCTCTAACAGAGCAGTAAACCTGGCCTTTTTTTTTTTTTTTTAGTGATTTTGAGTTTTGTTCCATATTGTTCTCCCACTCTATCCAGGATCTCCTGCACTAGTCACTTTCCTAGTGGTTGACAGTGGTGGCTGGGCACCATCTAGTTCTTTTGGTCTCATGGTTATATGTATAGGCTGAGGATTGCATGGTCTACTGGTCCCTTGGACTAATTGTTTCCATGCATCATTGATTTTCTCCATTCTTCTTTGATCTGGATAAGGAGACCCCCATTGTTACATCTAGATGGCCATTTGCACACTTTTAAGACCCCAGTTGCTACTCACCATGGTAGGATGTAGAACAATATTTTTTTGTGTATGTCATATTCTTGGCTTCTTCTTAGTGCTTTGATTGGGGTGTCCCCTATTGTTTCCCCTCCATTCCATTTTTTCTCTTCTTTTTGAAACAACTATTTACCAATGCAGCAGTCCAGTCAGGTGTGGGGGACCAGAGATGGTCCCTGCCTGAGTCACAATCCACCTAATCTATCCCCATGAACCTGATCACTATTCTCTGCCCCATATTTCTACTGTCTCTCCCATCCCCAAGCCCAAGAAAGGAGAATTAATTAATATTGCAATAAGAAGGAGTCCCTGGGTGGTGCAAATAGTTAACATACTTGGCTGCTAACCAAAAAGTTTCAGGTATGAGTCCACTCAAAGGTGCCTCAGAAGAAAGTCCTGGTGATCTACTGAAAAATTAGCCACTGAAAACCCTATGGAGCACAGTTTTACTGTTTACACTCATGGGGCCACCATAAATGACTCCACAGCCACTGGTATATATGAGGGTTTGAGATTAGGTAACAAATCAAGAGACAGAATGAGGGCCCCAATCCTGAGTATTTTAGCAGAGATTGGAACCACCACTACTCAAGCCACTGTAGTAGGTGGATGGGGGCCCTTCTAACCCTGATAGACTATGTTTCAATGTCTGAATCCCAGTAAAACTGTGTGTGTGAGGAAAGGAGGCTGACTATTCCTCCTTCTCTATTCCAACACTCTACACATTGCTTTTCTTTGAGGGGGCCCACATTAGAAAATGACTGGAGCTCAGAAAGTCTGAGGTGCAAATCTACAGAGCAGAGTTTATTTTACATTCAACATTTCGTGTACATTTGGTATCACTCCCAGTTACCATCCCCAAACCTAATTCATTTTCCTCCCTTCCCTTCTCAGTACCCTCTCCCCCTGTACCCCTCATAGTTATGCACTCCTGTGTGTCCTGCATTTCCTCCGTGTGAATGTTGCCCCTCTGGTGCCCCATGACTGATTGCTCCAAGGGATGCATCTCCATAGAGTATGTGGATGCATCAACCTGGATTGAACGGTCTTTGTGTATGTATTGTTTACTATTGGGCTGAGAGCCAGCCCCTGGGAGTGAGTTTTATTCCAGGCTGGAAGCATATCCCAGGGCCATAGTATTCACGGGGGTGGGGGGTGGAGGGTGTCCCACCAGACTCCATGTGACCAGTAATTCTAGTCATTTTTGTTTTTGGATTTTGTTCGATGTTTTTCCTCCCATTCTACCCAGGATCTCCAGTTTTGATCCTTTCTTGAGTGGCTGGCATTGGTAGCTGGGCATCATCTAGTTTTTCTGGTCTCAAGGACCATCATGTCCTAAGGCTGACTGCAGAGTCACCAGGTCTTTTCTCCCACATAGCCACTGGTGGGTTCAACTTGACCTTTGGGTTAGCAACACAACACTTAACAACTGCTTCACTGGGGAGTCCTTCAATATCTCTCCTACTAGTCCCAAATCTTGTTTTAGATAGGGCATCAGAGACCACAGGAAATCAGGAAAGATGAGCAGATGGTCTCAGCCTTGAAGGTTGAAATGACCCCACCCACCACCACCAGCAGTAGCAGCAGCAGGAGGGCCCTTGGACTTCTTCTTTGGGGCCAATGAGGGCTGTGACTTGGAGAGAAAGTCTCCCTCTGGCCGAATCCCGCGGGTGCTTACATGTGGGGGACTTAACTTTACTAAGGACTGCCCCTTTTTTTCTTCCCATTTTCCCCATGACCCTCGACACGATCTCTGCCCACCCGCACCTCGTCCTTCCTCAGGATCTGAAGACAGTGACGCTGGGCTTCGTACCTCCAGGCGACTCAGAAGAGCCCGCTGACCCAGCACGCTTCTACCCGTTCTGCAGCGTGCTGGTTTGCCTGGCCTCTCCTCTGGCCACCATGCCTGGGAGGCGGAGCTCTGAGGGCCCGGGGGCGGGACCTGCGTGGTGGGCGTGGCCTCGGAGCACGCCCAGCGCCGTCGTTTCCTCGCGGTGGAGCCCACGGCCGGCTTCTGCGCGTTACACAAAAGGGGCTACAGGTGCCAAGCGCTCACCAAGGCCAACACCCGGGAGGAACTTCCCGTTCGTCCGAGCAGAGTGAGCGTTCGCGTGGATCATGAGCGCGGGAAAGTTGCCTTCTACGATGCAACCACAAACAAACATATCTACACTTTCCACACCTCCTTCCCGGGCGGATCTTCCCCTTTTTCCGGCTCCTGTTTTCTGGCACTCAGATCACCCTGAACCCTTAAGAGTTGCTCCGTGTCCTCCCTCTCCTTCCCGGCACCCCCTCACTTTGGGATGTGCTGCAGTGAGTAGCTCCCTGATTGATGTCTGTAGCCAGTTAAATTTTTCTTTTTTTCTCTTAGATCACCCCCTCCCAATATCACCACTGCCCAGTATGCTTGGGTAGAAAAGAAAACTTCAAATACAGGAAAAGTCTATACGCAGGCTATTCATTGCAGCACTGCAATGGGACTGGAAACGGTTCAAACGCCCATCAGTAGGTGATGGCTGGAAAATGAGATGAGAAAACAATTGGCTACATTCTGGTTGAGACATGGATGCAAGGGCTGGACCAAAGACCCGGGGCTGTCCTCTCCCCCTCCGCCTCATCTCCCGCAGTCCGTGGCCCTGGATGCGGCCTCAGTCCATGAACTTCATCCTTTCCCACTCTCTGGAGACGGTGACGCTGAACTTTTGTCTCTCAGGCTGATTCAGCCAGGCCCACCCACATAGCACTTTCTACCTCTTGGTAATACCTTGCAAGCTATGAAAAACAATTAGGAATGTCTGTATATATTATTATAGGATAATTCTCAGGACATATTAAGTGAAAAAAGCAAGGTGGAAAACGGTGCTTATACATATTGTTTGCTTGTATTTATTTTTTTAAGTGCAGGGATAAACCAAAAACTAATAAAAAGTTACCCCGTGGGAGGAAGGAGAGAACCGGGTGGAAGAGATGGATATTCTTCTCTGAATGTACTTTGTTTTGTATATTTGACTTTGGAACCATGTAAGTTTTTTACATCATTATGAAACAAGATTAAAATGAGACAAAATTAATCTAGCTGTGTATATAGTTGGTAACTTAACTAACCAGAGGTATATCAAGTGACTTTAAAACACAATAATTTGTACATCTATAGTTGCATATATATTAATCACAAAAATAATTTCTAATAAATTTTAAGTAAACTTATTGGTAATAATAATAATAATGTATTAGTATTGTTAATCTCTTATTTGGATATATATATATATATATATATATTTATACAGAAACAAAGGTA